CCCACGAAATAGGATTTTCCTGTTTGGACAGTGGATACATTTTTCTATTTTGCTTTTCAATCTATTTTTTTGTAGGTTCTTTTTTTCACTTAGCCCCCCTCTCCAGTTTCAATTTGTTTCCGACAACAATAAGATAGGCGTGGCATTTTCAAAAGCTACACAATTAGTGTCTCTCAAATGGTTTCCTAGATTCTCAATGGTTAAGACATTACTGACATCAACAACCTTGAATTGTTGTTGACAACGATGAGATGACTTAAGCCCCAACTCTTTGCTACACGAAACGCTGTCATTGGATTCTAACTACACTTGTTGACATTCGTCCGAATTTCTATCCAATGTTTATTTCAACAATGAATGTAAGGAGGTGTAAATTTTAGTTCGTTGCAAGTAGCGTCGAGAATCAATGTCACGCCTTACTGAAAATCCAAGTTAATTTGTTAGCGACAAAAAAATATCAACTGGGCACGTTTTTGTAGGATGACTGACCTGCAATTCAAGTCAAATCTGACTTTTTTTTAAATTGGGAGGGGATATTTTGGAGTTAATATCATTTAAAATACGGACTTAAAAATCGGAGCTGATGCTTCAAATAAGCAAAGGATAATGTTCAGATTGATTTAGAATTTATCTGCATGGCTTTCACATTCTTTCAAATATTTTATTCTGAGCTGTCACTTAATCTTCGTCTATTTCTTCATCTTTTTGTTTTTCTTCTTTCATTTGTTTTACCAGTCCCTCAAGGAGACTGTTTCCGGTTTCACTTCCATTTCCTTCTGAGTTGGAGCTGAAAGGACTAGACGCCGGTTCACGTTTTCTTCGCAGAGTAATGGCGGCGTTAAAGATCCCGGGTCTTTGACTAGGCCATTCTTCCATACCATACACAGACAATACCCATTTGTTGTGAGGATCTTCCAGAGAGTGGCCTCTTGTACATGACGGATCTTTGCATTTACCTTGAGTAAAAAAGTAACAGATATGTAAATATGGGCATTCGTCGGGAACATCGGATTCGCAGTGGTCTGCTGGACATACTTGAGGATACCTACATTTCAGTATGGTAAGAATTTCACCATCGCTAAAGCCATTCAGGCCGAGTTTGTTTTTGATTTCCTTGTTATTACCGACAGTGAAAGTGTGGCCATTTCTGCACCTCTCGCCATAACTGCAGTAACTATTCAGATAGTACCTGCAAACATGAAAACGTTTGCAATCTTCAAGTTCACATCTCGTCATGTTATTAATATGATCCGTACAAAAAGTGGCATCTCTCAAGAAAGGTATGATATGGATTATCCGGTCCTTTTTCTTATAGAATGCCAATATTTTCTTTTCCTTCAAGAGCCAATCATCAAAATCATCAGAAAGATGGGGGTATTTTTCTTTAAATTTTTCTAAACTAATACAACCACCATTTTCCACCAGGAACCTGAATACACCTTTTTCCCTCTCATCTTGAACATCCAAAACAGAGGCATAACTCTCCATTTCCGAGACTTCTCTTGCAATACTTTCCGTATCAAAGTCGGTTTGAGCTTCTTTGAACCCTATTCAACGAAATCACTACGATATATTCAACACATTTAATACTGATATTTCATTTCAAATAAGTAAAATATTAAAAATACTTACCTTTGTTTGAAAAGTTTAAAAAGAAATGCCTCTTTGGAAAGGAAACGAAAAAAAATCTCGTTTTTGAAGTGTTACTTTCTGTTTAGAGTCGGTGATTTTTTTTTTGACATACCTGAAGATAAAATAACCTTAAAAGTAAAGTGGTATATCTTTATCAGGAGCAAAAATTTAAAGATAATTTATTATTCAAAATAAAACACTCACGTACTTGGATATAATGCAATTTTGATCATCATTCCTTCGATTAACTTCGTTATCACACCTATGGTTAGATAGTATAGATACGCAGTGAGTCTTCAGTTTATTGCGTTCTTGTCTATGTACTGGAAGAGTTTTTATGAAATATACTGATAAAAGAAAATGACTTCTTTATATTCCGACATTATTTAACAATATATATCAATGGAAACTGTATATGCTAAAGTAAACTTTTTCGACATTTAACTCTGGGCACGACATTGTCCAGACTTTTCACTAACATTTTTAATTGTGATGGCGAAAACTAAATTATAGCACTTGGTGTTATTCCTCAGCAGTATCACGGGGTCTCATGTTGAACTCACAAACACGAGTATTTCCTAAAAATAAAATTCCATGAGAGAATGGTGGGAGGTTTTTTTTAATTCTTCAATCATACCAGTTACAAATACATGTACATAGAATCACAGATCATAGTTACATGGTGTCTTCCCACTTAGCCAACATTTTGAAAAAATACAGGTAAAACAGATGTAAGTCGGTGTTGGCTAAGTGGGAATGGGGTGCAGGTGGAGAACAAAAGAAATAAATTAAAAGCATCCCCGGATGGTGGTGTTGGGAAAGTTCTCTTTCACTGCATTTCGGGCTGCCATTTCAAAGTCAATCATCCAGTGTTCAGGTGTAAGCACGGAGTGGCGTTCGTTGACTGCGGTTTTCAACAGGGAAAGAAGACGTCTGTAAGTTGTTTCAGTCTTGTTGGGAAGCAAGGCAAACACAAGAGGGAAAACTGTCCCATCAACTTCTGCATGCAGAGTGTATAGCTGAGTGAATAGAGCTGTACAGGAGTAGAAAGTCCCATCACTAAACACAGTTGTAGCAGCACAAAGTCTCTGAAGATTGTCATCAGTGGCAAACACAATGATTCTGTTCCCTGCTTCATCTCGATCATCACACAAAAGGAATCTCTCACGAGCTAAGGTCTGTGTCCAAGGATCCTGGATGTCGATTTCTTCTTGTGTGGTAGGCAGTTTGGGCATCATTTTCCCTCGACTCCGGTACAACACAGACTTGCAGGATTGAAAGGTGGGGATCTTTCTAATCATGTCTATTACAGTGTCATCACAGTCGGCATTCCGGAGTGCTCCTAACTCTTCATCATATATGGATGGTATGGGTGCCGCTTCCTCTCTGCATCTCTTCTTCACTTTGTTGACAAAGGATTCTGCTGCCAAGCCAATGAAGTCCCCTTCATGATTGTGAGGCCGACCAAAAGACACAAGGATGTTGTTCACTGTCACAACTGTAGCTGGACACTGTCGGTCTACGCATCTCCAATATGTTCGGTCGTTGCGTGTTGTCCTCACGGAATACTTGTATCCACCATGAAGAAGATAGAATCCTCCTCTGCCGTTCTCGAGAAAGTTGACTTGCACCTGAAGATTAGCCATTTTCTTCTTCTTCCTTCTTTCTTTCTTTTTCTTTTTTGATAGTGATTTTTTTTAATGGAAAGTCCAGAAAACAATTAAGATCTCAAAATTTGCAAGCTTTTGATTCTGTAAATTATTGATAATAATTATGCTGATCTAGTTTAGAAGATTCTTTAAAAAACATTCAATTATAATCATTTATAAAATAATTATATACTTAACTTATGTATCGGTAATGTTATGTACAAGCATTTTTACTAGTAAAAACACAACCATTTTTAATGATTCTACATAATTATTTCTTCAAAGTGACTTAATTGTTTTTCTTTATTTTTCTATAAAAATATGCTGTGTGGTCCAAAAAATATATTTGTCTCTATTTTTTTTTTACTTAAATGATATTAATATTCTATTCATAAATTTAAATTAATTACTTTTTTTAATTAATTAATTCTCTGGTTAAATTTTGCTACTTTTTTTCATTATTAAATTATTGAACTTCAATTTTTTTTTTCTTTAATTTTATATTTATTTTGACTCAAATTTTAACTCTGGTTGGTATATTTTATACACTGTTTTTATTTTCCAAAGGAAATAATTCTCAGGTAATTAATATGCATACCAGAAAACAGACTATAGCCTGTTAATCACTCAGGTGTAAAAATCAAAATGTTGGCTATGTGAGAATATAATTTTTCAAAATGTTGGCTAAGTGGGAATAAACCAGTTACATACAGGACAAAGCAAGCAAATTCAAAGAGCAAAGAGTTGTGGTTCCCCTACTTTCGGTGTCTTTGTGGGTGAGATGTCATTATTTATTACATATTGTGTCAAATATGAATGCTCTATCATATTTCATTGAGAAATTATCAACAGAGTTGAATTTTTGAAAATTAAGTGACCTTAATTTCAAAAATATAACTTTGGTGATAACTTCTTAGTACTGGGTATGATTGTCCATATTTGAAATCTTATGTAAGTATTAACTATTTTCGAATTGCCAATTCTTTTATGCAAGAAAATAAATACAACAGTTTTTTTGATAAATGTAATTTTAGTTAGTTTGTGCTTCTTTAGAAACACCTTTGAAGAAAAAAGAGGTCAAATGAATGAAGATTAAACAACTTTACCATGATTATTCTAATTGTGTACTTTTTGGGGAAATATGGGAGATATTTCATTCTCCAAATCCTAGGAGAAAAAATCAAAGAGTTATCCACTTTTTCTAAAACTGAGACATGATACTAAGTCTCCTCTCCATAGAAAACAAAATTTTGTGTATCATCTGTTCTTAAGCTATTTTTACATACATTGTGTACATATATAAAAGTCAAGACTAAGATTTTCAAGTGCTTATACATAGACTAAGAAAATGACCGGTTTTTTTTTCTATTTTTTTCAGCTTTCAATTTTAACGTCTTATTTGTGATGACATTAGATAAAAAAATATTTTCTAGATAATTACAGTATGTACTCGTTAGACTCGATTCTGTGTGATGTCAACTAAATACAACAATATAGATTAATAAAGTTCTATCAAATAATAACAATTAGCGCTGTATTAAACCACGCGATCAAATTATTCAAAATGAGAGACAAAAACAATTTTTTTCTTTTTTCTTATTCAATACAAAAACAACACACAAACAATTTTTTAAGAGGGGGGGGGGGGGGTGTTAAGGTATGATTATGCATTGAATGAACAAAAACTGGGTACATGATAAAATAGAAAATAACATGTTTCTAAACTTGTCGAGCAGAAGGCTGGCAACAAAGTCTCAGGAATCTGTAGACTAAAGAGACCCGAAACTTCTTTCTAATAATGTCCAACTTCGATGCATAAATTAGTGGATTCAAAGCACTATTGGCGATACTAAAAGCGAAAAGGTACGTAAAGACCACGTCCTCTGACCAATACCCTGATAGGTCCACTTCGATCTTAAACAATATCACCAATACCGTAAACAAACCTACAAATGAAAGATACAAAAATTTAGCAAATTTTGAACTTCTCGTTTTACTAAAAGGTATCATAATAAATTCAAATCTTTACATCCCAAACTGATCTCGTTTTGCTAAAAGGTATCGTTATTCAAATCTTCCCATCCCAAACTGATTTGAACAAACTTGAATATTTGAATCTACACTTACTATTAAGGATGCTGGCATAATTCTTTTACTAAATGTGGCTTTTTAACTTACACTGTGTTTCCACCGTACAACCCCCCTCCCCGGTTATGATTTGAACAATCAAAATCTACACTATCTGGGGATGCTTCCATACAAATATGCCAATCATGGTTTTGTTGTCCCTGAGGGAAAAAAATGAAAATTTTCCTATATACCGGTATTTCAATGGAAAAATTTGATTGTCGATTGTGGCCCCATCCTACCCCCGATCAGGAGGTCATGATTTGAATAAAAAGTTGAATCTACACTACCTGAGGATGCTTACATCTAAACATGATCAATCATGGCTTAGCTGTTCTTGAGAAGAAAATTTTTCCTATATATATTTCTATGCAAAACTTTGATCGTTCCTTGTGGTCCCGCCCAACCCCTGGGGTCATGATTTGATCAATTTTAAATCTGCACTACATGAGGATGCTTCCATATAAATATAACCAATTATGGCTTAAGCCTTTGCAGTTCTTAAAAAAAGATTTTTCCCATATATTCATGAGTGAAGCTTTGATCCTCCCTTATGGCCCAGCCCTACCCAGGGGTCATGATTTTAATAGAATTAAATTTACACTATCTGAGGATGTTTCCCTATAAGTTTCCTCTTTCCTGGCACAGTGCTTCTTGAGAAGAAGATTTTTAAAACAAGTCACGAAATTTAATTTATGTGTGAACTATCCCCCCTTGGATGAGAGCGCGGCCCTTCATTTGTACAGATTTGATCCTCTTCACACAAAGATGCTTTCTGGCAAGTTTGGTTAAAATTGGCTTATTGGTTCTGGAGAAGATGTTGAAAATGTAGAAAGTTTACAGACGGACTACAGACGGCATGTGATCAGAAAAACTCACTTGAGCTAAAAAAAAAATTTAAAAACATACCAATTGGTGCCCAACACAGGAAGTAAACACCAACAATAATGAAAGTGGACATGGCAGCCCGGATACTGGATAAACTTCTTCTCCGCGACCTTCCTGCTCTTCGTATCTCCTTGATGGCAGAAGCATGGCGATGAACAACTATCGCCATTCGAATGTAGGCACAGAAAGTACAAAGAAATGGAACGATGTGGAGCATCAAAACAAATAATATAAAAGATTCAGACATTGTCTTTAAAAAGCTGCACAGATAGAGAATATTCATAGAACTCCATCCAAAAAAGGGAAGCAACCCAACTGCAAGTGACACGGTCCACACCACAACGAGGCTGACTCTCGCGCGCTTAATTGTGATATACTTCCGGTAAGTGAATGATTTACTTATTTTTATCAATCTTTCAAATGTTAGCAGCATTATTATAAAAACCGATGCTAGGTTGAAAAAGATGAACATTCCGATTCTAAGAATGCACTCAACGTATACTTTAAACTGCAATATGTTATATGCAGTATCATAAACAACCATAAATCCAGTAAATGTGTCAGCCATTGCAAGATTTGATATTACTGTTAAAGAAGTGTCCTCATCCTTCGCCCTTCGCGCAAACAGAATAAAACATACCCAAATATTTGTTAGAACTATAAATGTTCCTGCGAAGCATAAAGCTATATTGATGGCCAAATCCTGTGGAAAAACACAGTGTCCATTAAGAGTTCGGAAAATACCGCCACATTCTGAGACATTGAAAAGTTCATAATATACTTGAGTTCTGTTTGTTTCCATAATTGTCAAAAATCAATCCACTGGGCACATCTGAATGTTATTTTAAACCCTATTTCAGTTTATATTTAGTCCATACACCAAAATGCCAAGCCGAATTTATTTCAACCCCCCATTTTGATTGATGAAGTTAGCCTTCACGGTTTCCATTTAAAGATGGTGAGAAAGAATTGTTCGATGCATGTAATTTAAGACATCAAAGCTGTTAAAAACTTTATTTTTCTGTAGTCCAAATGCAGGAATTGATAATATGAAATCCTAACTACATTCTAAAATGTCAAAAAATTGTAAAATAAATCAGATAAACCAATTAGCAAGCAACAAGGGGTAGATACTTATTCGCAAAGTGAACTGGGTTGCTTTCTGAAATCGAATTGAACTTTCGGCTGGAAGCTATAAATAACACTCAGTTCATTTAAAGTGGTTTCAGATTTTTCACACAAAAACAGTTTCACGTCAGTATTAATATTATTTTTCTTTTTTCCCTTTTAATCAAGGAATATTTGCAGTTTATAGACTATTACGGGCACAATACATTACGGACGATAGGCCTTAATAAAATACTATAAATCTAAAATGGAAGAAGAGGAGTAAATCATTCGCTGAACAATGTTTGATGAGAACTATACAAATGTATGTATATAGTTGATACGTCTGTTACAACGCACTTTGAAAAAAAAATTTCAAAGTGCGTTAAATTTGGGACGACATCAACGCACTTTGAAAAAATAAAATTTCTTTACAAAGTGCGTTAATATCGACCATACTAACGCATTTTGAAAAAATGTGTATGGCTTGGTCAATATTCTTCCAAATCTTAGGTATGAATAATTGAATCTGTTTGATAACTCTTTGGTGATGAGGTCACTTAAGAATTTGAAAGTGAGCGATTTTGATTCTTCCATACTCTGAAAATTCTTTCTCTCTTAAATGTTTTACTGTACTTAATTTTTCCAGTATGCATGCATTTTATATGCAAACTAAAAATTAATTGAAAGTTTTCAACGTCATACAAGTTTTACAAATACATAATATTTGGGTGTAGCATAGGCATCGGTACCGGGAAGGGGGTCTTAACAACACAAATGTTTTGCATAGATATACATGTATAAGCATTGGAAATTGGGGTTTACCTTTGATGGGGGGGGGGTGGTTCCACTTTTAATTTTCTACCCACGGCTATGTACAATGTATAAGAAAAAAAGTTAGGCTGAGAGATCTTCTACTCGTCTTCTCCTTGCTCCCAATGAGGTTAAATAAGTACATGTAAATTAAAACGTTTATCGAAAGAAAAAAATTAATACAAATTGTTTCTCTCAATTACTAAGATCTCATATGTGGAGCGGAGCGGATCAGAAACCCTTGACTTGGGAAGATGGTAAAATCTAAGTATAGAGTTTTTGTTTTATACATATTTTTTTCAAAGTGCGTTGCCACATACGTCCTTGTAAGAAATGATGTACTCATAGTTAAGGCTTTACATCTATGAGGACCTACATGTATGTTAGTATATCAAGTACGTTCTTGCATACTAGTACTTTTGTATATAAATTGTTTTGTGAAAAGCCAATCAAGGGATGCTTTCTTAGCAATATGTTTACTACATGCAGTCCTTATTGTGTGTTGATTTCTTTTCTTAATTAATTCAGTTCCAGGGAACCGAAAATAAAAAAAAAACATGGAAAGCTCAGGTGAGCGTGTTGGCTATGGGCCTAATGTTTTTATTAGTCCCCTACCGGTGAAAACGGTGGGGACTATAGGTTTCCTCTGAGCCTGTCCGTCCCTCTGTCTGTCCCACTTGGTTTTTCGCTCTCTTTTTCTAAACGCTTGCAGACATTGAAATGGTTTTTGGTACGTGAGTCTATCTTGATGAGTTACAGATCAATCTTGCATTTCGTTCCCCTTCATTGATTTTTACATTTTATTTTTAGCTGTACTTGTCAGAGACCAGAAGAGCTTATGCGATAGTAATGCGTCTGTCGTCCGTCTCTCAATAATTTTTCAAAATGATACTGCTCTTACAGTTTTGGTCAAATTTCAATATAACTTGGCACACAAGTAGACTACACTAAGATACATAATTCTGTACATCGGTTTTTGATTTCGATGAACTGTGTTGCCATGGTTACTAGTACTAAAATTAGAAATTTCTGTTAAATACTTTCAAAATGCTACTCCTCCTACATTTTGGTCTGATTTCAGTATAACTCAGCACACAAGTAGATTACACTAAGGTACATAATTCTGTGCATCGGTTTTTGATTTTGATGAACAGTGTTGCAGTGGTTACTTAAGGGGGATGTACAAGCCATATTGGATCTAGTCTGGTGTAAACTAAGAAATACCAAGAATGCGCTTAATACTCTACTAAACTAGCCCAAAGTTACTCAAAGTGCTAATGCACTAATTACCTACTGTTAGAGACCAAAATTAGTAAACAATTAAGTTTATTTTGTCTTAATTAGAAGAAAATTAATCATGTTAGAACTGCGCAGCTACAGCATTCATGAGATGAAAAATGCATTGAAAATGGAGTTAATTTGATTCATTGATAATATGGCTACAACCATTTGTTTCGTTTTTTTCTTGTCATTATCCATAATTCTTGAAAATTTGATTTTTCATATGGGTGTCTTCCTGAGGCCATGTGTTTATTTTGGTCCGCCATTCCTCTGTCACACAGAGTTCGAATAACAATGATTTTAGAATAAATGCGACCATAATAACATCAAGACAAGAAATTACTAAGTAATAATCATTAGGTTATATTACTTACTACTTTTATTTGTTGCATCGCATCGTCTGATTAATGAAAAAACGCGATTTTAACCTCACTCCAGCAAATCGGGAAAAACTGTTCTGTTTACAACTCGAAATTCCTCGTTAATATTATTCCACTAAGCACATGGTTGGCATGTGCATATATCTGCTGTGGATAAATCCGTTTATTACCATGATTATATTTAATTTTTATGGAACAAGTCTTGGTAATTTGTTGGTTTCTTTAAAACTCAAGAAAAAAAGATAAAAATGTCCTAAACATATGTGTTTACGGTGGGTCTTTTTTCTGTGGCGATAGAAGTTATTTTCAAATGGGGCACTGCAAGGAGGATGCTTAGCATTTAATTTGAAAATGTTAAACAATATGCAGTGCATGAAAAATGAATTGTAATTACATGTCTTACATTCGAAAAGTTGGTACATATGTCTATTTTGTTTAGAAGTTAGATAGAAAAAATAGGCAGTTATAGGATATCCTTCAGGCACCTCACATAAATAGCTAGAATGTTTGCAATGACCCACACATTGTATGGAGTAATGTTTGGACACAAAAACGCATCATGTCTCATTATGTTGACAACGTTGTAAGCTCTCGCTCATTGAACATACGAAGCTTGATAAAATATAATGAGTTGTTTCTATGAAATTTAGAAGCGAGCACAATGTTTGCAAAGAAAGGTCCATTGCATATATGCTATGTCTATCATCGCAAAAAAAGTGAGTGCTAACACACCCCCTCCCCCGAAAATCCTATGTTTGTTTTTTCAAAATAGTGTCAAAGATTAAAAGAATTGCATTACTACATGTAAGTATATGTGATGGAACATGTACTAGCCTTATAATACCACTTGTTATAAAAATATTTGGTTGCCCTCTCTCCCGATCTACTGCCTAGAAATGGCCCGACTCATTTTTTTAACATTCCATTACACGATGTTTTTTTCTTTTTCTTCCGTCAACAATTCTGTTTAAATTTTAAGGATTTTTTTTCTCACCTATAAATACGGACCCAATAATTTTTCCCTGAGTTGGGAGGACCATTTTGAAGATGTTTATAGGTTGATTTTTTCTCTTTACTTTGTACAATTGTAATTTTGAAAATATGGGCAAATAGAAAAAAAAATTATTCATTAAATCTCCTAACCCACTCTGAATGATTTCATGCCTTTTCAACTGTTGCTCCTCTGTAATGAAAATTATAAATGCATGTTTATTTGACACAGTATACGAGGGGTGATCAAAAAGTAAACAATATCTTAGGTATTTGATATTTATATTATTGTTGAAATATTCAAGTATTTTTCAAAGTGTAAAATTTTAATTGAAGGTCTTTGATGGCATATTGCTTTATTAAAAACACATCCCTTTTCAAACTTGCTTTCACCGGGCAACATAACAAGTATCATATTTAACCATCTCTAAGATATACATGTGCCACGAGTTCCACTGAGACAACCATTTTTCCTCAAAAGTACCTGAATAATGACGTCATTTTCAGATTGTGACATCACAAACAAGGATCAAAACTTCAGCATATGCTATTTATAGAACTTGTGTTTGGCTATCTAATCTGAACTGTGGTTTTGTAG